GGCCCCGCAGCGCCCGGCCCCGCAGCGCCCGGCCCCGCAGCGCCCTGCCCGCTCCCGCAGGTGCCCGCCCGCACCTCCTGGGCGCGCTCCGGAGGGAAGCGCCGCTGCGCGGGCCCAGCGGGTGAGCGGCTCCCCCGGGAGCGGCGCCCGCCGCCGCCCGCTCCCTGCTGGGTGTCCTCGCCACACGCCCGCCCTGGGTGTTGGCGGAGCGCAGTGTGCGCCCGCCGGGCTCTCGTGGGAGCCCTGCCCGCGCTCAGAGCGCAGCCGCGCAGTTCAGTGCCCGGCTTTGCTCGTGACCAGTCGCTCTTCTAGCGCTAGGGCACGCAGGCCAGAAAAGGCACCTCGGGCCGTTTGCCGAGGAGGCCTGGGGGCAGCGCTCGGCCCGGGGGCAGCGCTCGGCCCGGGGGCAGCGCTCGGCCTGGAGGGTGCTGTCTCTTTTCCCGCTCTGCGTTTGGTCGGGTATTTGGCTTGGGAAGAGAAAGGCGCTTCCCTGCCCTGTGATTTCTTCCTCCTGCCTGCCGCTCTTCACTGCGAAGCTGAATATCCCCACACTTTTTMCTGTTTTAAAATCTTGAAAAAGTTTCTGTTTTCTCCTGTGGTGAGAGCTGATGTAAAAACGATAGGAAATACGAGGTAACCAAGTCAAGTACTTAAGTAGGCACAGTGAAGGAAAAACGTTGGTCAAACATCTGTCAGCATCTGCCCCCCTGCACAGGTTTCCTTACTTCTGCTTTCCCAGCTTTCAGTTTTTAATATGGAAGAGAAATAGACTTAAGTAGTTGAATTATTAATCAGATCATCCTGACACCTCTGGGAAAGGAGGTTATGTAGAAGAAAACGTCTGTGAGTAACCACTGGAACAGTTAGAAATTAACTAACTTGGGACTTGTAAGACTTAAATTGAAAGGCATCTCCTTTGGGCTTTCATACTTGGTCCATCTCCGGCCAGGACAGCAAAACAGCCAAACCCCACTTTCTACATCTAGGCTGTGCTTTTAATAAAATATTTTTGCCAGAGTCTCATCTTCAAGGCTATATGAAGTCACTGTGTATGACTAACAGGCCGTTTTGTGTCTTAATTTAAGGGAAGTGGGAACACCTGAGAGCGGCAGCCCCCCCGCTGCGGAGAAGCCGCTGGGGATTGCGGTGTCGATGCAGACAGAAGCCAGCTGGCTTCGGGAGCAGCTCTGCAGGAGGGCAGGTAGGACGAGCCCGGCGCCCGCCGAGCGGCTGCAGGAGATGCCGACCTGGCGGCTGGGCACATCCTTCACGAGCTGCTGCCAGCGGGGAGCACAAGGCAGGGAGCCCCTCGGTGGCCCGGCCCTCGGCCCCTGCGGAGCAGCTCCCCGATGCACCTGGGGGTTCAGGCGTTYGGCAACGCCGTGGTGTGGGAGCACTGCACACGCGGCAGGAACGCTGCCTGCCCAATTCCCAGGAAAGGTACCGCAAAGCCTTGAGGAGGGCTGAAAACATGTCACCTTTCTTCTGTTCCTGCTCAGCTGAGTCATCCTGGCACGTGCCTGAGTAGCCGGCTCCTTGGCTCCCCAGCCGGAGCGCAGGCATCCGCTCAGGCRAGCAGGGCTTCAGCTGCTTCAGCACCAGCTTTTATCTGATCCTGTCTCTTTTTGGGCACTACATCAAGCCTCCTTCACGCTTCCTTTCCAAGGCAGGCAGCTGTTCTCTATAGGGGAGCATCTCTTCCATCTCGTGTGCCTCCAAGAACAGGGGGAGAGATAAGGGCCACCAAACACGGCCTGCTCTGCATGCAGCTCCATCCTGGCAGAAAAGGGGCACCTACATCCTACAGCAGATAAAGTTCTCCCTCTTCAGCCTTTGGAGGAGGGTGTTTGCAATTTCACTGTGAATGCATTTGCAGACGGTATTAGAGGCAGGATAGCACGTTACGTGTCTTTGACACGAGCATCACTGTAAGGATCAAAGTACAGAATAATCACGCTTGTGCCAGCAGTTAATCATCTACCTGGGGTCTGCATTCAGCAGCAGCACATGGAAGGATGCGGGCGCTGCAGAAGCCCTAGGGGAGGTAAAACAAGCCCGCGGTGTGCCCAGGGCCCCTCGCGTTGCTCGCGGGCGCAGCTGCGCGGGGCAGCGCGGGGCAGGCTCTTCTGGGAGGCCGCCTCACCTGCAGCTCGCCTCGCTTTCGGGTGCCAGGTCGGAGCAGCTGCTCTCTGCACCTTAAAAACCACTGAATACCGAGGGCGATAGGCACCTAGATCTGTGAACTACTAGAGTTAAAAAAAGTAGTCAAGAAGAAGAGCAGCCACATCAGTCACCCCCAAGAAGTGTGATTCTCACCATTCTACTTTTTCTCTACGAGCATGTAATTAATTCCCAAATGTATTCCAGAGCTGTAGCTCCCATTGCAGGCCTGTGAGCTGGGGTGTTAACCAGGGCCTGTCATGTTATTATTTTTTTTATTATTATTATTTTTTTTACTCCATTCTTTTCGAAGAGATATTCTGATTCGTTGATACTTTCCAAAGAGAAGAATGTAGAAAGGAATTAGAAACCTACCTGGGGTTTTATGTGGCCAAATATGTTGTGGAAAGCCGAGCTGGGTTACTTAGAGGGGAACACAAATGGAGCAGGATTAGGGGGACTGAAATTGAAGGTAYGGAGCTGCCTGGCAGGCGGTGTGACAAGCAGCGTCGGGAGGGAAGCRGAGGCTCCCTGGGGTGCTGAGGAGCGGCGGCCGCTGCCCGCAGCGCTGCCCGCCTGCTGGGAGCACGGGCTCGTTGAGGACAGCGGCGGAAAGCCCAGCGTGCGGGACGGCGTTTCCTGCAGCCTCACGGTCCCCRCACCTTCCCCAGCCCCTGCAGTGTGGGCTGCACTCGGACAGGGGAAGAATCTTCTGCTGCCTCTAAGGCTCCTTCTTGCCAGGATGAGTCTGGAAATGCTCTGTAGAATAAAGCAGTGCTGGCTGGTGCTCCAAACTGTGGGCTCTAGGCAGTAAGCCATGGCCATGGCTTCAATAGGACTGGTTTCTCTGATCCAATGATGCACTTAAACTTGGTTGCAGTTCCTGGTGAATGTCAGGCAGCTGACACAGGGTGGCTTGCTGAAAGAGAAGATACCTGAGGGACCAGCACATCTGCTTTTGGGACCCCAGCAGCCCTGTTAATAATTCTCTTTATTGCTATTACTTGCAGCCCTGTCAGAAGAGTTCAGCCATTTAGATATCCTGTGTGACTTGGAGGTAAGGACTCAGTTCCYGCAGTGCACGTTTTGTTCCTAATGGTTTGACACCTGAACAGAGAACTGGCTCCACCTTGATCTTGTCCTATTTCCCTTTGAGTTCAAAGAAGATTTTGTGAAGCTGTTCAGGAAGTCGCTGTGCACRCTCCCCTCTGTTGGGCTGCCTACTCTGCTGGCCTACAGACCACAGTCATCCCGAGAAAACATCCAGATTGAGGTGAGGGCTGGGTGGGTTTTATCCTAAGGTCCACATATAGGAAAAATACAAGTAAATAAAAATTTAAAAAATGGCCTTTGTCAAGCCAGTGTAAGAGTTTCTTCTTGACCAAGAGTCTTTCTTTTGTTAGGCTGTTGAAATGATGCTTGTTGCACATACTTAAACGGCAGGAGGCTGTACAGCCTCTACCCCTCACGGTTCCTCCACTGAAGATTTCCTAGCAGAATTTGTCCCTTTGACTAAAATAGAGATAAAAACTTAATGTAACTGGTAGGTTCACAGTCAAACAACATAAGCAGAGCACAGAATTCCAGGTAACCCCAAGGGGAATATAGTCAAAGAGGTGTTATTCCTAGGCATGAGGTGGGAAGCAAGGCAAATTTCAGCATTTCAAAGTTGTATGCTCAGAAGATAATTTTAATGATAAATAAATGTAACTGTAGTTTCTGGTGTACATATACTAAACAGTATGTAGATGTATAGCCCTAGCTAAGTGGTCTGTGAGAAGTACTCATTCACACTTATGCTTTTGTGTGGTTGCTGTCTCTCTGAGGAGTGCAGAAGCCAAACAGTAAATCTAGCAGTGTGCTCATGGCAGTGTCACCTTCTATAACTGAGAATCAAAAAACATTTTTTTTTAAGAAAATTATTTAAAATATTTACAGAATCATCCTCAAAACACATCAGTGCAGAAGCCTTGTTTTGCATCTGGTCAAACATGCAGCGGGTTTGGTCCACAAATCTGACCATGAGTCCGATTGAWGATGAAACCCGCCATGGATTTTCACCATGGTGCACCAAGTACAGCAGTCAAGGAACTTCTCTGCAAACGCCAAGTGACGTGTTTGAAATGGTTGATGAATAAGCACGCTCAAACTGTAGTGTCCTGCATGCTCCAAAGTTTTCCTTACATTTGGAATGAAGGGATCTTATAACTACTATTGTAATTCTACTTCTTCGAGTAACATTGAGATTTTAAATTAATACTGATCTGCTTTTGTTCTTGGAGGTTTCCTGGACCTAATGGCTTGAGTTAAATCTTTCCAAAATATCACAGACACAGCTTTTGTTTTCTGAAGGTCTTCTTACATGCTGTAAATAYTTGAGCAAAGCCTTCATTCACCAAGGTAAAGCATGGATTTGTGTGCTCATACGTATTCCTGTCCTCCTCCTCTCCTCTCCTTGACTTTAGATAGCGGAGGACTATATYCCAAAGTGCGAATACTGCGGTAACGTGCTGAAACAGTTTCCTTCCTTTGACGATGTTTGCCTGCCGTCAGCAGACTATAAATCGGTGAGGTGGTGGGAMGGATCAGCGGAGCTTGGCTGCGGGCGCCCCGCGCAGTGACGCTGCTCTCCTGCCCCGCAGAAATTCTGCTGCGAGCGTTACCAAGAGCTCTACGAGTTCATCCTGGAGGAGAGGAGGAAGCGCGAGGCCGCCTGGAGCAATCCCATTTCTATCGGCCCCCACGAGTCCCACGGCAACGAGACGGAGAGGCTCCTGGCGAAGGAAAGGGCCTACCAGAGGTAAGGGGGGTGATGGCTTACGCACCCATCCTCTATGAACAGAACGTAAAACGGAGCCACGCTTACACATCCAATACGTAAGCAGCTAGACAGGAACAGACTATTCTTGGACATTACCTGTTTTGTTGGCCTAATGGGCAGCATTGCTTTTTTTTCCACATAAAATCTTCATATAAAAACCTCTCACATAAACCCATTAGAGTGTATAGCTCTATTATCAGTAGGATTGATGCCATTGTAGTCATAACGTCTGTTCACTAAATATTTCATCATAGTACTTTGTATTGGAGGAATTCTTTTTTTTTTTTTTCTTTGAGGTTTTATTATATTGGTGCCATTCCATGGCCTCAAACAGTTATTTGCAATTATGTGAGTGGAGAGAAAAGCACATTCAGTGGCTTGCATTCCTAGTAAGGGTAATGTAATAAGGTTCGGATAGCATCCTAAGGATATCCACTACTTTTTTATCTTTCTGAACAAGATTGGTGATATGTATGTCCAGAACATTTCTATTTTGCAGGCGGCAGGAGAGACAAATGGCCAAACAGTTAGCTTTCCTGGCAACGGAGCCGACAAGTTTACCTGAATGTGAGTTTGCAGTTATTTATGTATTTATTATTGCAACAGTAAGCTAAACTGAGTTGCTTGTGTCTTAYGGTGCTCTAATCAAACAGGAGGATTTATGCAGCGGCATGTTAGTTCGTTACCTAGTGTGCTATCCCATTAAATCAGATTCTGATAAGTTAAATGGTTCCTCACATTAAAAAAAAAAAGGCATTTTTTATCAAATGTATATGTCTGAGAGGAAGCGCGCACAACTGAGCGTACAACGTGCCTGTGTTGTCACAGGGGTGGCAGGGCACCAAGGTTGTTTCAGACCCCAGAGCCCTGGCAGTGCTTTCCAGAGCAAATGTCATTATTCACTTACACAGATAGCTAGATAAACTGGGGAAAATACTTTGTTTTTTCCTAATCCTCTGAAAGAGGTGGCCACTTTGGACTGTCCTTGTGAGACAGGAATGCCYGGCCGCAGGCTCCAGCAGAACCCAGCCTTAGAGCCTCTTCTTGGGGGGACGGGCCGCTGTCGGGGCCGCCCASCCCGACACCCCGACCTTCTGTGCTCCTCAGTGTCGAGCGAAAGCGATTCCATTTCCTACCTGCTGTCCCGGGAGCCGCCGTCTCGCAGCGGCTGGACGCTGCCGCCCGCCGCGAGCGCCGGCACGGAGCGCAGCGACAGCGGCAGCGACAGCGGCTGCGACGTGGCCGCGGCGGCCGGCGAGGTGCGGAGCCGAGCGGAGCGGGGCCAGCCCGGCCTGCGGGCCCCGGCAGCGCTCCTGCCCTTTGACGCCTCCCCTCCAACCCTAGCTAGCGAAGGGCGAAGTCCTGGAAAAATACTACAAGCATGGAGGGAAGTTTCTGACCATCCTTCCAGACAGAACAGCGCAGTTGTTGTATCCTTTACGAGGCTCATTTGCCTGTATTAGTCCAGGGATGTAACCGTGATTTTAAGTTTTTCTAGTCTGCTTTACCATAGAGTAATCTGGTCCACAGGTATTCTGCTAGAATCCAAAGGAAAAAGGCAAAAGGCAGTAACTGAACGGCTTATGTGGCTCTTGGTCCAGATTTCTCTGGAGCCGGCGGTAGCTTTGCTGAGGGAAGCGCGAGGCCGGCGCTGCAACGCTGCCGCGGGGCCCGGGCGCCGGGCTCTGCAGCCCSGGGCCTCGCCGGAGGGCCGGGAGGAGCGCGTCGCTTCCCGCCGCGCTGGAAGGAGGGAAGCTGCGGTTGCAGGCCAGCACAACGCAGCCGTTTGCAGGACCAGCAAGGAACAGGAACAGAGCAGCTTTCACCAAAGCACCCTATGGCTTCCAGGCCGACTTTGCCATTAGCTAATCCACAATTTAAGTCACTGAACTTATTTTTCCTTACTGTGATTCACTTCTTTCTGACTCAGGGATGTAAAAAGTGAGTCTGAGTTCTGCTCCCAAAGCAGACAGGGGCTTGGGGCAACTTTCCCTAGGCCGCTGCTCATGGCTGCAGCAAACCAAGTGCCATAGATACATGGGCTCACAGTAACAGGCCTTGCTAGAGAGAAGGGCTGATGAATGAGAAGCAACATACCCGCTGTTCGGATACATTCAAGTGAGGCAGCTTCAGAGGCAGAGCCTTTTTCTCTTACCCACTTGTTTTTTTCATCTGGGAGAAAAAGACCTGATCCCTGTTTGCTCTTACTCAAGTTCAGTAAGTAGATCGTTCCACTTTGCAGGAATTGTGCTTTGAATCATGAACCTTGCAGACCCCCAGAATGTATCTTTAATATGAGACTGGGTTATTAGTTAAAAAGCAAAAGTATCTGTATCTCTAAGTATTTTGTAACAGTGTATAGAAAACTTTAATGTAGAAAAGGTTGGCAGCCTCCCAATTGAAACTGGATCCCCATTCTGGCTTCAACACGATAATCTAGATAATGTCACTTTTTGCACCCCAAAGCAGTGCTCTGAACTGTTTGCTAATACGAAGGACCTTATCTGGGCACGGCTACCCGTCGGGCAAGCTGGCGGTGCTGGTGGCGCGCGAGGCGGGCCGCTTTGCCTGCATCGTGCAGGAGGACGGGGCGAGCGGCGCCGCGCTGCGGGCCGTCTTCCAGTCCACGGGCAGGAGCACCTGCTACCACCCCAACGGCGCCGTCTGGTAGGTCGGCGTCGCGCAGCGCCTCCCCGCGCTCTGCTCAGCATCTTGCATTTCCGGGGCCGTAAAGGGCATTTTTGAYGGTGCTCAAAAATTAAAGGAAAAACACCTAGCGTAGGGGAGAGGCAAACTGCGGGGAAAGGAAGTGGTTTTTACCAGAGGCTCGTTAATGCCCCTGGAAACGGCCTCAGTGCCCCCCAGCGCAGGCAGGTTTTGCTGAGGGGGTCATTATGTGACACAGCAGCCCGGTTGGTGGGGCAGGAAGCCCTGGCCAGGAGGAAGTCAGTGAGATTTCACATCTGCCCATTCCCTCTGTCGGCACCACAGAAATACTTGGAGCCAGGCGGGTTTGCCAGGAGCCCGACACGCCTGGGAGGCGCTGGGCTGTCCCGGCTGCTGCGTCGGGCGCGTGGGGCCCGGCTTGAGAATCACAGAGTCAATCTGGTTGGAAAAGACCTTCAAGGTCCTGGAGTGCAACCGCCTGGGGCACCCCCAGAGCAGAAGGGCCGGGGCTGCGCTGTAGGAGCAGGGAGCTCTGTGTGTGTGGGTGGGAGCCCAAGAGCGGCGCTCAGCTGGCACCGGCCCTGCTGCGCACGCAGGCCGGTCTGGGGACCTGGGCACCGTGCTGCTGCGGCTGCAGCTCCGTGCAGAGCCGCCACTTCCTGCTTCCCGCTTAGGATACACATGGATACTCATGGCGGGCAGTACTTGGACCAGGCAGGCAACAGGGTGAGAACGTGGACATGGCCGAACGCCGGAGTGTCGCCAGGGCCCCCCATCCCGCTGAGTCCCATCTTCATATCCCTGAACCGGCACGTGGGAGTCCGGATCGTGGGCCAGGACAAGATCACCGTTTCCTTCCTCGCCATGGGGCAACAAGCCAAATTCAACGTGGGAACGAGAGCACAGGTACTGCCGGGAAGCAGCCCCTGCAGGG